TATTTGAAGTGGAGCAAATCACCTAAGGATTAGGACCATTTAAATAATCGTCAAATTTATAAAACGCTATATTGAATTATATATTTTACTACTAATTATATACGAGAGTTTTGAATTTATTCAGTGATAATTGTCTAATTTCGCTTGGTAGTCTGTTGTAAAAACGAATATAATTTCCATATATGGAGTGGTTTATCTTCTGGTAATATTAACATCAGCCTGTATGTTCTTATCACATCACCTTAGTCAAGGTTTATAACAATTTTTTGAACACACATTTAACCGCCTTATTGCAGTTGAATAGAGTCTAAACTCCTAGAACTAAAAAACTTCATATGTGATATGCGAATGTAATAACCAATTTAGCTTGAGCTTCCTCGTCGCCCTCATCGACGTAAAAATGTATGATAGAAAGGGAAAATGCATTATAACTTGCAGTTCAATAAAATATGGTGGTCACATTACGATTTTGAATTTAGTTCGTATTCACAATATAGTTTCGACGCGGCGCGTGGCGGACGCAGCCATTTTGTGGTTTAATTTTTTTTACGTCTCGAAGGTTTTAGTGTTGTGACAAGTATATTGGTTTTTTCTTATGGTAAGTTATGTAACTGTTAATTGTATTACTAACGTAGATTTAACTAAATGGATTGAATGAATTTTTAATTATGATAAATACATTCGTGTATTATGTAAGTAATCTTTAAAACTCGTACAAGCCTATACCCGCGGTGTTTATATATTTTAACTGTTATAATATTTAAGAAAGATATTTTTTTTTCAATTACTAAGAACGAATTTTAACCTTGAAAAACTTGTAGACAAAGAACTTTATTATAACAATTCAATTCCTCAATCGCTCTACAAAAATTCACTGATAAAGGAACTCCTTACTTTCTTTTAATTACGTATCGTGTCTATTTTGGGTAATCCTGGGCCTTCGCGAGTTGACTTAACAAATGCATGACTCACTTGGCTAACAGTTCTACTGTCTAACGAAATCTTAATTGAATCCTAACATAACTGATAACATTTTTATCGTAATTTAATAAACATTTATTAAGTTCTTCGTTTTCGTGTTAATTTTGTGTTCCTTTCTGTAAGTATACACAAGGATTCATTTACTGCAAGATAGGTGAACATTCAATGTTTAGCAGTTATCAAACAAACATTTAATTGTTGATAGCGAATGATAAAGGCTAAGATGTCTTAGCAGTTAGCAAACGAAACTTATCTTGGATTTAATCGTATGTGTTGAGTAAAAGATTTAATGTTTCTATATTTATTGAACAGACTTCTAATTAACAATAAGAATAAAAATAGAAGGGGTGTATTAGTTTTGTAAATACATACGCTGTTCGTTATGGTGTGTCAAACATTATCGCTCAAATGACTTTGAACAATGAACAATTCTGACATTCAAATTATAGGAAATCACCGGAAAATTCCAAAATAACATATGTCCAAATGAATCATAATACTCCACTAGCGAATTTTTATAGATATATAATTTTTCTTTATAAACTATTCATATACATATATTTAGTTTAAAGTGAATAATTTCAGTACCTCAGATAATCAATCTAAATTTTCGTATATTTCTCGGCTCGTTTTATAGTTTTAAATAATAGCTGTGTACTGGCATTTACAGTCTTATAAACAACTATTATTTATTTTATTTGCTCTTTCAAACTCTTTCTCTGCCTATAAATAAAACAAATTTAACAATGCGCTGTATTGGGGGATTTCTGAAAAGTCCCACAATTGGATGGGCTAACATGGGCCTATTCTAATAGCGGATAAATGAGCAACTCCTAATCGTGCTTTTAAGCAGTGCCCCTTAACAAAAGATGGGATTGCGGTCAAACGTCGAGCTTGTGTTAAATATAATCTCAAAATCCTGGAAGGCAAAATCTTTGTTTTGAAAGCACCACGTTTGTTAAAACAATTAAGGACTAAAATGTTTTAAACGCATAAAATAGGAATGTAGTCATCGGTTGATAGCCTTATCATGTTTTTGATAAGCTATTATCACGATAATAAATATTTTTATTCTGTTTCATCAGAAGAAAGGATTACCTACTTTTCAATGAATATTACATAGAACATGGCTCTTCCATTCTGCCGGCATTCACTTTCTTTTATTTCGTTAAATTTAACTAGTATAAAGTATATTTTACAATTTTTTTTTGTCTGGTAAAAATAAGTTGTATGTCAGGTAAAATATAAGATTTTTTTGAGATGCTGCTAGCGTAAAGGTTCACCGTCACAGGAACCAAACTTTTCAAATTCATTTTAGGTTTCTATTTATACATTATTAATTATTATTATTACTAAAGGTATAGAATATTGTAAATAATTTATATTTCTTGAGTCTATAAAAGAATGTGGTACATAATAGTGCAAGTCAAATTAGCGTATGCTGAAGTTGTTTTTCTTATCTCTTTTACAATAATAATTTCCGTAGCGATAGATAGAAAACTATTGTTTAAAAGATTGATATGAAATACAGTTTAAGTAACGAAGGGTTATAGGACAGATTAAAGATGTCCTGTTTTAATTTAAATAAATACATATATTCTTCATTATACATTTTATTGCATTCATTCCAAATAAAGTATTTAAAATGATATTCAATAAACTGCAAATTCACATTCAAGGTGTTTATATCTTATCAGTTCGTACATTGCTTACCAACTTTACTAATTATGCAAACAATTATAGATCTATTATAATATATTATGGAAAATACCCGTATTCCCCGACTATGAGTTTGTCTCAGAAGAATATTATAGATTGTATCCAGGGCCGCGTCGCGTCGCCCCTGTGTGCGAAGTGTGCGCCAATACAATAAGGGCTCCGCCACCGAAATAATTTTTGTTTCACTTACACAACAATATATTATTTGTTGTGGAGTATCGAAAAGTAAGTAGGTACAATAGGCGCAAATTTAAATAACAAAACATTATGTAAAACTGGAAATCATTTTATTCGGTCAAAATTAACAAATAATAAAAACTTGAAAATATTCGTAAGAGGCGGTTTGCACAAGCTCTAACAAGGGATACGCAGGTTCTGATTGTGTCTCACAAAAATAATGTATGAAAAGAGCAAATTTTTGTGTGTAATGTTTAACATTAGAAAATGATTACTACATTACATTGAGATAAATATTTATTCTATAAGTTAAATTACAGTTCATTACTCTTACGAATCTTTTTGAAACCTCTCAAAACTAAGGGTCGTAAAATACACCTGCTATAACGGTTTTTACATCTGTTCTTGACCCTATTTTAGAGCCTGCTGTGCTTGCCCATTATTAAGGCACCACAGTAAATAATATGAAATATATGTTATTGTTTACATATAATATAGATTTTTTCCAACAACTTATAATTATAAATATACATTTAAAGAAAGAATAATTTGGGTATCTCTCGCTAACATATGAAAGGCTCTACTGAATTACGATCTTAAAAAGAGTTGTTTAACTCTACCATGAACTGCGCAGGTGGCAAATGTAATCACTGATGCAAGACATAGGGGTGAACCATAACGTACTGTAACGTGGGAAGGTGACATTAACTGCCCTTTTAATAAGATAATCAATTTATATGATTCATACATTTTTCTTGAATGAGTTTTCATATATCATACATCAAATTATTTTCACTAACTAAATACTAACATAGTAGTTTCACTTAAGAAATATTATTGAAGTTAAATTCACGTTGTTATAAAAAGGAATATATTTATATCTATAGAGCAGAAAATAATAAAGTTTGGAAAATCCAAAAGTGCACGCCTCATATCGGTCATTCACATTTAAAAAAAAATTATAAATCATTCGTTAACATTTTTATTTTTTTTATTTTTACTTCTTACTACTTACTTAATATAATAAAAAAATATATAGTGGCGCCATAACTCTAAGGTGAGGAAAAAATATACTAAAATAAATGTATATATAAATATACAAATAAACAGTCGTATTTTCGTTTTTTACAAATTATGATTAAACGACAGTACTTAGAACGCTACTATTAACTAGGAATCAGCCCAGGGTATAACTTTATATAATAAGAAAAAAAGTATTCTGGTACGATACATTTTTCGACCAATTTCTCTGCCACCTACATGGATCCATAAACATAGACTGACGGACGTCCAAGAATGATTGATTTTAATGTTATTATTTACTATGTTAAACAAAATAATTGTTCATAAAAAATACCATATGGGCTTGATAGATTATTTAACTCGATTTTAGTGCACTCATATTATCCTGTAACTGTTATATTAGTGAGAAAAAAGTCATTCAAGTTTCGAGAGACTGGGTTTTTTGACATGTCGAGAGTAGAGCACTGCCTCCGCTCCGCTAATGAGGCGTGCAATAAACGGCACAAATATAAGAGTCTTTCCTCCAACTTCGATTTTGTTCCCTTTGGAGTGGAGACTTTTGGGTCATGGGGTTCAAGTGCACAGGCGCTTGTCAAAGATTTAAGTTGGCGCCTAGTAGATAGTACCGGTGAACCCAGAGCTGGCACATCCCTGGCTCAACGAATAAGTATCGCAATACAGCGAGGAAATGCTGCCAGCGTTAAAAGTACACTGCCACAGGGACCAAACTTTTTAAATTTGTTTTGATTTTCATTTTAATTATTTTTAATTACTTCTATTATTACTTTGTAGGTTAAGAAAATTGTAAATACTGTATACTTGATTGTAAATAAACAATTATATCAGTTTATATCTAAATAGATAAAAAATAAAATATAATTCATAGATAAATCAATGTACAATTATGAACATATTAAAACATTTATTTTTAGTAGAACGGACGAGAATACCAATAACGTCACCGTAACTCTTTTATAAGACCAAAAAATAGATAGATAAAGACAATGTCTCTATGACAATCTTAATTCGATTTTCGATAACATTTATGATAACTTTTTTTTCAGATGAATGCTAAGAGTTGACTAAACCGTAGGATGAAAATGGCAGACCCAGAAGGACCCGTCACTGTCGGTGATTTACCTATTACTTTTCAAGTGAGTCTTTCTGTTGTTTAAATATATTATGTATGTGTTAGATTATCTGTAATGTCTATTGGTTATTGGTGAAAAATGTTTATGGCACCTTTAAACTGTCAGTTATAGCGGGCTTATGAATAAAATGTCTAACTTAAATTACAAAAATAAAGCGCGTATGCTCCATATCTTTATACTTCTATTAATGGAAGTTAACTCTTTTATAATTGTACTATAAGCCTTAAATAACTATTGCATCTTTTGTCCTTATCGCTCTCATGGTCGAAAACAAATGCGATCAAATATTCTTTAACCAATTGAGGCTTAATTGTACTGAGGTTTCTGTTATGTAAAGTAAGTTCAAGAAATTAAATATTATGAACTTATCTAAGCGTACGACCAACCAGGCTCTAGAACATAAACCACTCCTTATATGGAAAATAACACGAAGCTGTTATATTTCTTATACATCAGATATTCAATAGATAAACAGCGAAAGTTGATATTAAAATTAACTTTCTTTCGCACTTAATTTAAGTGAATTTAAATGTTGTGTTAATTATAAACTTTTATAAGTGTTAAGGGCAGTTGTAAACTAACGATTTTGAAGCTTTAATAATAAAGTATATATTTTTATAATTACAATCATACATCGTACATTGGTTAAACATCCTGAAAATTATATTATTTGTCGAAAAGACAAAAAAATAACCATGACGCATTTCATTCAAGGTTACAATTTATATAACTTTCGGTGTAGCAATATTTTTATTTAACAAAAACAATAGTTACTTCCAGGGACTTCCGGTCAGAATCAAGTATATTTTTAGTTCGGAAATGTTTCGTTTTTATGGTAGTTTTATAGTAGTTTTATGGTAATTTTCTTAAGTAAATTAAGAAAAGTCGATCGGTTACCCATAACATGCACTTAAGTGGTTTGGACATGTGCACCGAATGGCGGACTACAGAACCCCAAGGTTCTTACTGAACTCACAACCTGGTGAGAAAACCCGGTAGACCGAGGCTGCGTTGGTGGGGTGGAGTTGTCAAGGACCTCGAAACAATTAGACGCTAGACGAGATAGATTGCGATGGCGAGACATACTTGCGGAGGCCCATAAGGGACTGTACAGCCATTGGTGATGATGATGGAATTAAGTAAAGGATTAAAACTATTTAAATTCTTTACTTGCCTTATTTATATGTTTTATTTTATTTTTTATGCAGCTTCTGCATCTTAATATCGCGAGTAATAAGCTTAATTTAAATAGCAAAATCAGCCTCCATAATGAATCAAACGTAGATAACATCATACTCTCGCTACGAATGTGTATTTCGTGACTATCAAATACACGCATTGTTTTAGATTTAGCAATGCTCAAATATACAGAGCGTAACGGAATTGCGAATAAGCGTTGGAAATAGAAAAATCAAGGTTAGGTGGGTATTTTTTATTAGCGAATCGCCATGTTCGATCTACGCTTAAAATGGAGAATATTAGTCCGTCTTCGAAAGAGTTAATATCAATTTAAATTGGCGCGAAAAATTAAATACGAAAGTATCTAATGTCTACTACATTTGTAGCCTACATTGAAAATGGCCTGATGACATGGCCTTATCGATGATCTGGAATCATTACTAATAGGCATAGCTCTAGGTAGAAGTCTAGATTTTGTATATATGTTATGCTTAGCGCTTAGAACCCTTCGATAATGTGTACAGATTATATAAATTATGTATAAAAAAAAACTAATACTAAAGATATAGCCAAAGATGGAATACATAATAAATACAAAAAGCGTCAAACATTTACGAAAGGAAAAATCACTAAAAAAAATTAAATACATTTAACTAAGTAATACCTAATTCGGGTGTGTTGTGTGATGGTGTGAAAGTGAGGGTATGTACGAGAGGGTGTGTACGTGGGGTGTGTTCATGATTCAGTTCATTTAGCGCTATGCATTAATATTCCTTTAAAGCATATTCCGCGATAGCTTAAACGAATCGAGACTTAAAAAATGGTTGGTGTTCATGTGAGGAACGTGAAACAAAGCACGATTACGAGTCTAGTAGACAGGAATCTGAGATTACAAGTAGAAGCGTACCGTAATGTTTTCGTCGAGAGTTTAAAGTACTTATTTTAAAATGTTCACACCCGTCGTCATACATATTAACTATAAGTAACTATTGTATATAAAAAGCTAAATATTTAAGTTAAATTATTGAACTTAATCCATTGTCCTTAAAATACTACTTAAGTTTAGTTTTAAACGTCATGTGTCATCGTTATATTAATGATTGACCTAATTATAATTAACCCTAGGGTCCTTGCATTGCTCTTTATTCAATTACACCTCCTACCCGTTCTCTAAACAAGGTAGCAGAATGGATAATAAAGAATAATAATATAAGAAGGAATGGCGATAAACTCTCCGTCGCTCTTTCATACAAAATTTCATACTGTATTCTCATTTTTTGGATCTTGAACAAAGCTGAAATTCAATGCTACTTAGCCAGAAACATGAAGCCCTAATGCTGGCACAGGACACTCACGTATCTTGGATCATATTTGTATCAGGCTAGAAAGTGCCTCCAAAAATGGATTCAAACGAGCGTAATATAGAGAGTAAAATTGTGACCCATTACATTCAGAGAGAGTTCTCGATGAAGTGTGTTACAATCATGATTTATAAATAAAATCAGTAGCGTTACAACCTTTTTAGGTCTGGGCCTCAGATTTAGGTGTCTGTTTTATGATCATTTGCCAATCTAATAGGCGAGTAGGTGAACAGTCTCCTGTGCCATACGCCGTCGACTTTTTAGATCTAAGGTATTGTACCTCACGGAGTTTTCCTTCAATTTTCGAGCAAATGTTAAATGCGCACATAGAAAGAAAGCCACCAGGCCAACACTTCACATGTATAAATATTTGTAATACCTATACATCAAGTAGCAAGAATATATCTTGTCGTTATCAATAAAATGTAAATTGTGACGTCTTTAACGCCAAACTAAAAAAACATAGAAACTATCGACTTTGGATGGTCAGCCTTGTTGTAACACAATTTAAGGTTTCTTTCCATTTAACTCACACAGAAAAGTCCCTTGAGCGAGAGTTTAGCATGTAGTTAATACATTATAGATTTGTGTTTTATTTGTTAAATTACTTCTAATTATTATTCATTTTTGTTTAAACAATTTTTAATTGCGTATTTTTATCTAATAAGTCGTCTGTTCCTTGCCTGCTGTTGACTTTTATGTTTAGTATTATTTTAGTATACGAGTATTCTTTCTTGGCGAATCCTTTAAGGTCTCTGCAGTTAGGCTATGGAATTCACTTCCCGTCCCTATTCGCTTAGCTCCTTCTCTATCTTCCTTTAAATTTGTTCTGTACAAACATTACCTGTCCACATCGTAGCCCTAACTTTCGTACTAACTACTAACTGACGTGAGACTGATCCTATTAAATTGATTCATGTGCACTTTTTACTTTTTATTTTTCATGTATCCTTTATTACTTAAGTTTAGTTTGTTTTTTTGTTCCTGTTTAGTTTTTTCCCTTAATTATTTTTTTCTCATTATTTTTGCACTTCTTTCCTACCTTATCTAATTTAATACATCTTTTTTCTTTTCTCACAGTGGTTGCCTGGAAGAGATCGCTCGAAAGCGATAAGGCCGCCAGTTGCCCTCCTTTTCATTATGTTCAATTTTATATTCAATGCAACGAAGTGTTAATAAATAAATAAATAAAAATATATCTTCCCATTTAAGTGAATATTAAGAACCTTATTCGTAATGAATATCTTAAACCGCATTTAATATTTGACATGATTCTACTAGGGTCTTAAAATTGAATGAATTCCTAAATAAATTTAATACTAACCCAAGGTAGGTACTGAGTAACACTGTATGACGTCATATCCTTTTAACGGTTCGCTCGCTTCAATTATCCTCACACAACGATCTATTTGGATCAGTGTAACATTCACACTAATTACACAAAATTATACTAAAACATGTTTAATGCGGTACGAGGTTTGATTCCCGGTGTTTCAATTGTTGGAAGTGTAGGTTAGTCACTTAATTGCCTGAAAATATTGAAACAGATGAATAGTTACGGTAGCTACTTAGTTTTTAGATGCACTTTTATTGAATAGTAACGATCAAATGTTTTGTGATTTTTATGATATTGTTATGTTTTAAAATTATACTTTTCTTGCCATAACATTTCATATAAAGAACATTAACCATTTCGAGTTATATAGCACAATTTATTAATTTATATATATACAATTATACATAAAATTATTTTTATAGTGACAGTCTTTAAGGGCAGTGTTGGTCTAGTGGCTTCAGCTTGCGGCTCTCGTCCCTGAGGTCGTAGGTTCGATCCCCGGCTTTGCACCAATGGAATGGGTGGAATTCTATGTGCTCGTTTAACATTCGCTCGAACGGTGAAAGAAAACATCGTGAGGAAACCGGCCTTAGACCAAAAAGTCGACGGCGTGGGCCCGGCACAGGAGGCTGATCTTGCCTATTAGAATGACGCATGATCATGAAACAGATACATAAATCTGAGGTCCAGACCTAAAAAGGTTGTAGCGCCATTGGTATATTATTTTTATAGTTTAGTAACAGAAATATGTTTTTTATTATCTTTTTAACTAAACGACTTAATCGGAAGTATTGTAACAATATCTTTATCTAATAATCAGAAGTGTTGATTTTGATAAAATCCGTCGAAATTTCTATATGAGTTAGTATTATTTACTATGCATTCCAGATAAATGTAAATTTTACCTTCTGATATGTTCACACGATATTTTTTCTTTTAAAGGTCAAATATTTGGGTCAAAGCGACGCACGAGGACTATGGGGCATCAAGCACACCAGGAAACCAGTGGACCTTATGGTTGCAGCAGCTAAGGCATTACCACCAGGTATACTTCTGCAAAATGGTCACCATGTGGTTGAGTTGCATACAACGAAATATTGAAATATATTCACATTCATTTAATACATTCTGTTAGGTTTAAGAAACACCCAGCTAAGTTCCCCCAACTTACAATCAAATATTTCGCACTACATATCATTACAAATTACAATAAGTAAATATTGAGCCGGAGCGAAAAAAACAGACAGGTACATTTAATATGTTGATGTGTTTATTTATTTCGTAATCCTTCAGCTAACAAAAAGTTTTATACAAAAACTAATAATTACACAAAATATAACCAGAGATGGAATACATAATATTTAACTACAAACGGGTTCAAATATTTACAAAAGGTAACAAAAAATAAAAATTATTCATTACTTTTAACTGAGTGGTACCTAATTTGGTTGTGTAGTATGGGTAAAAGTAAGGGTAAGTACGTGAAGGTGTGTATGTGGGGTATGCTCATGATGCAAGTGATTTTGCGCTATGGATATTCTTTATACACCTTTTACCATATTCCGCTATAGCTTAAACAAGTCAAGGCTTAAATATTGGTCGTTGTATGTCCGGACTGTGCGATACAAAACTGAGGTTTTGCATAAGTAGTGTTGATGTGAGGAACATGAAACTAAGCACGATCACAAGTCTTGTAGGCAATTTTTCTAATAGTGAGCTTCAATTAATTTTATTTGAGATGATGTTTATTTCCTATATAATATACAACATACTCGCATAGCAATTACGTATAAAGAACACCATTATTTATTATTCTCTTTTGATAATATTAGGTGTAAAACTGCACTCGTTATATATTATAATCTGTAAATTCCAGGTGAAATGTTACCAATCGTGAAGTTGATGATCACTGTCGAAGGGGTCCATCTGGAGACCCTCAACCATGGCACAAAACGGGATGAATTCGAACATATGACAGTAAGTAATTTACGAGATGTTAATTACTATATTCATGAGCCTGAGGGGAATTTAGGGGGAACAAATGTTTTAGACGACACAAAAGCCTGGTAAAACATCCCTCTTTACCCGGATGAAGATTGACCCTATTATTGTTACATTTATTTAGTGTCTGTATTGTTTCCTTAAATAATCTCTTCTTCGTAGTTTTCATTACTGGGCGTTCCTGTCTCAAGGGAATTTGGTCAGTTCAATGGGAAGGCAATGGAATCAATGCTCCTGTAATTACTAATATAATAAATAAGTTTATAATTGGCTGATTATAACTATAAAAACCCCAAATGATATTAAGTCTCAAAATTTTCGGGCGATCCCTTACTAGTAATTGTTTACGAAACTCCAATGCAATTCAATTCAATAGCAATTCAAATGATGAGTTATCTTTGGGTGACATAACTCATTTAGGAATAAAAGATGCTACCTTATTATTCGTCTGTGTTTAAAGTATTTACAGTGACTTTTTATAGTTCCAAACGTTATATATATGTTTTCAGGTATTTTTTAACATAGAATCAATATCATACGGCGTCCAAGACCTGGTCTACACCCGTGTCTTCTCGATGATAATAGTCAAGGACAATGCTGACGTTAAAGGGCTGAACCCATTTGAGTGCCACGCCTTCGTCTGCGAATCCAGGTACACCTTGAAATGTATATAAGAGCTTTTTGCTTTAAGTTACTAATAATTACTAAGAGCAGTGTTGGCCTAGTGGCTTCAGCGTGCGACTCTCATCCCTGAGGGCGTAGTTTCGATCCCGGCTGTGCACCAATGGACTTTCTATGTGCGCATTTAACACTCGAACAATGAAGGAAAACATCGTGAGGAAACTGGCTTGTCTTAAACCCAAAGTCGATGGCGTATGTCAGGCACATGAGACTCATCAACTACTTGCCTTTTAGATTGACAAATGATTATGAAATAGATACGGAAATCTGAGGCCCAGACCTAAAAACGTAGTGCCACTGATTTTATTTAACTTATACTTATAATAAATTAAAACATAATAATTATTCGGTGTTGGGTATGTGGTGAGCATAACAAATACGTTATGCTCACCACACCATATATGTCGTTTGAGTAATAATAGAAACATTTATTACTCAAACGACAAATTTAAAACTACCCTCTTATGTTTGTTGTAGAACCTATACATAAAAGATACTGAATATTGTGCTGTTACATTGCAAATTGTCTATAGCAGTAGAATCGGCTTTGGGTCGAAAATATCCCGACTTCGTCATGTTTACCTTCAGCATCAAGTGTTGATTTCGCTCATTTTCAACTGGTATTCGAACTCACTGCGACATGGTTGAGATTCGCATTTAAATTACTAAACCCACAAGCTCTATTAAGAATAAATAAGTGAAAATTGTTTTTTAAATTTTAGTTTACTAGTACGTTACACGTCCATTACACATTTGGCTAATTGATTAAGCAATCAAGTATTTTGGAACAGATTTCAAATTCATTAAAAATGTTTCTCTTTGAACAGTAAATAATGTTTCGTTTTCTTCATATCGATTGTGAAACGGCCATTCTAATCTCATAGCGAATAATCATTTGGCCTAGTCTTAATATCCCAGGCGATAACGTTTTTGAAGACTCTGAGAACTAGGTCACCCTTAAAAATACTTAAAGATGTTCTATCGGGGAAAATAAATTTCGAAACTATTTTAAAGTATAGTAGTATATAAGTATCATTATATATAATATCTTACCACTACATTATTATGTACTTGGAGATGTGGGGTCACTCTGCAACGTCTCGTATTTACCATGGAGATTGTTCAGAGGAGTTGTTCGGATTAATACCGGCAGCTGAGTTTCATCATATGAGGTCGAGGCAGAATATGAAATTCCACCAGTATCACCTTGATGTGGAACCAGCTGCCCACTGAAGTATTTCCAATACGACTTAGGGTCCTTCTAGAAAGGAGCGTACCAACGCTATAAGGCTGGCAACGCACTCGCGAGCCCTCTGGCATTTAGTGTCCTTGAGCGGCGGTATCATTTAACATCAGGTGAGCCTCCTGCCCGTTTGCCCCCTGTTCTAAAAAAATTCAATCGACAAAAACATATTTCAATACTTTGTTCATTATTCATGTAGAATGTTTGGCTTTAAGTCAATTTATATTTATGGCCTAGATTTTTAAGCACGTAAAACTTTAAAACGATAAATAACTACATTTAATTATTTTCTCTATTCTCATATTATTTAATTATTGTTCTAGTAAATATGTGTTTAATGTACTATATAGATATCGACATCAGAAGTCATCAACCATTTAATCTAAACTAGAACGTAAACACTTCAAACGCAGATAAAGGTACTACACACATACAGTTACAAAGGTGTTATATAATAATAATAATAACCTATTTATTTCATATAATATCCATATATAGTTTTAGAGAGTTAGTAATTCGCTCTTAGTTGATGTTAGTATTTGTTAGTAAACAAAACAAAATCCTATAGTGGGGCATGGACAGCATACCAACGCTTTAACAGCCTGGCCACGGGACATTCGCCGATGCGAATATTCGCGCGGTGCGAACGGCGAAGCGTCTAGCGACTGAAATAAACTCATAGCAATGTACTAATCAAGCCACGCGCAACGGCGACCGGCGATACGACCGGCGAATTGTACCGAGCGAACCGCGCGGGCGACTGGCGAGCGAAACAAAGGCATGAATCCGCGGCGCAAGCCACGGAGTTGAGTGGCAGTCGCGGCGAATAGAGCAGGGATTAAATAAGTTTAGTCGTTTTCGCGGCGAAAAATGAATACAGAGTTTTTTATTATTGAAATACTGGCAAGACCAGCTATTTGGAAGTCTGGCCATCCACAGCATAAATTTAATATACCTTAATGTCAAAAACAATTTTTCAGCGGCACTTAAAATTATATTTTCATTAACTTTTTTCTCCAATTCTGGTTGAATATTCATAAGAATATAATCATACTCATTCTGGTATACTCAAAAAAAATTCTGGATATATCCTGTATTTCTCGTACTTCTTGTGGAATTCTCCATCTATATCTCGATTCTTATTTAAATCATGTACTCCACAATCTCTTCCAAATATTAGGTCTTGAACCAAAAGCTATTTCTTCTATCTATACTTCTATCTTTCTATCTATACTTTCCAAGCAATATGGAGATGATTTCGATAAAGACATTTCGCTGTCGAACATCCTTACTGTTCGCGGCGGCGAACGTGACTGGTGCGTGGCCTGCAAACGCCGCCGCGTGAATGGTCGCCTCGCCTCCCGCTTCGCCGTTCGCACCGCCGATCCCCGTGGCCAGGCCGTAAGATTTGCGTGTTCTTTGTGAACACATTCAGGATACCATTGGTGCTATGCTTAACACGATGCATCAAGTATACCACCCTTTCCGAGTGGTGTCATTAAAACCGTCAGTTCAGGTTTCGGCAAACATACCTGACGCACTGCAGAATCTCGACAAGCCCAATAGCAACCTAAACGTGCTGTTATACTAAGCTTATTCAACGTATTCTGGATAAAACGGGCCCATAGGCTGCATGTAAAATGACTGACAATACGCCTTGAACAGAATAACTTTGACTACGTTAAAATCTCCGGGCCAGCATATTACCCCTTACGGCTAACATATCACTGTGATATATATTTTTAAAATTCTGTTCATACCTTGTATTTATTGCCTATGATTATACTAAATAAAAGTATGTAATCAATTTTATATTAATATGCAACTATATTTTTCAGGAATGCTGCTCGTCGTTTGACATATTCACTTGCTGCTGCTTTCCAGGATTACTCCAGACGGGTTAAAGAGATGCAGACTACACCAGGTAATATGTTACTGAAATATTTCCAATACACAAATATACAGAATTTACAATATTCTTAACCAACATAGTACTCGTAATACTTATAATTTAAATTTTAATTGATAGATAAAGAACTAAAACAGCATTTCCTCGCTGTATTGCGATACTAAGACGCTTTCTAAGGTGATATTTATAGTTAAAACCTGTATCGCTATTTTAAGCCAATAATAAATTTAATGGCGTAGTCTTGCTCTTTCGTGAATTTTGTAAACGTTGTTGACATTCATAAGCATGCTCTAAGAAGCATCTAAATTGAATAAATTTAATATATTGTTTGTAAAATGGTCCGGTAGTATTCACGCCGTGAGTATACATAATTATCATTTTAAAAAAAGTGCGTGCGTACAAAGTACACATGTCAGAAGTGAAAATTCTTTGGCAAACTAATTTTTAAGTCTTGTTCATATTTATACAAATCTAAAAATTTCCGAGACTTAGAGGGAGGGAGATATGTTAGGAATTTAATGAATTTAATTCTCATTAAAATATTAAAAGTGTCGAAAATTAATACATATAATAAATTGTGCGTGTACTAGGTGTACACACGTAAGAAGTGAAACTTCTTTATGATCTTAAATTGAAAAATGATCTACTATATGCAACTTTACAGAAATTCGTTTAATTAGATAAAGTTTAACAAAAGGCTTTTATTATCATAGACATGAATACAAATATTTCATTTTACCTTATTACTACGAAGATTATTATAGAATTTCATTAATTGTAATAGAATTATTACTATCATTGAAAAACGTGACGATTTGCTACAAAATTTCTCCCATACGTCGTCGATAAAGAAGTTTCATTCCAACGCCGATAAAGAAGTTTGACTTCAAAAAGCAACATGGCGCGTAACCGAAAAATGTGACGCGTAACGAAAAAATGTTACACTGAATTTTTTTCCAACCTCGATAAAGAAGTTTCACTTCAATAAAAAAATAAAAATTTTCGATAATAAAAACACGTGGCATTTGTTTTTCGATGTTTTGTTATTTGAGATTTCAATAAATTACTTTGCATAAAATATAAAATACTAATATTTCATAAATTCTCTTTACGAAATTTTAATTTAAAAAAATAGAATTTCTATAAGGTTCGCCCTTCTCACTCTCTCTCTCAATCGCTCTCTCCCTTTTATTCGACAAAAACGCTGCACATATTCGTGACGTATCCGTAACATATTTACCCTCATGCATCTAAAGAAGTTTCACTTCAAAAATTAAATAAAAAGTTAATTAGGTCCTTCTTACATAGCTGAAGCTTGATTGATGCATATGCATGACGATTGTTTTCATATGTTATTATACATTACAAACAATTAATTCTATATTTATATCGTTTTATTACAGAACTGGATGAGAGGCCGCCGAGTCAGAAACCGCAGAAGCGTTTTGCAATCGACCTTAGGACACCAGAAGAAATTGAGGCAGATTTGGAAACAGAGGCTTAAGCTATCATGAGCTGTATGCTTTTTTAAACTATCATTTGTACAAATACATACCTTACATAAAGTGCTTAACAGCGGTGGGTTTGGTGATTAATGTAATAATTCGTGTTTGTATCCGTTAAAGAAGTTGTATGATACTACAAGCCTGAACTAATGTCCGATTTGTTGATTTTAAATCAAATGCGGGCTAATATTATTTTCGTCAAAATAACTTCTGTTAAAGTAGAATTTAATTTGCAGCCTTTATTCAAACATAACTGTATATACTTGGTAATTTTCGATATCAAGAACTTTGTCGGAATTAGGTAAAAAAAATAAATTGTCGTTTTATCTAAATATTTTTCGATTAATTTTATTTTGTGTCACATATATTGTAGTGTTTTAAGTTAGAAGGAATGACCGCATAGTATTTTATCATTCTTTACTTAATCAATTTTGAAGAGTCCAAAGCATAATATTTATTGTTGTACTATTTATTAAGTTAATGTAAATATTACATTCCAAAGAGTGTTGTAGAAATAAATGATTGTGTTATTATTTTTGTTTTAATTCTTCACTTGTTTGGAATATTGAGATTTTCATACTGTATAAATACTTTCAGAAATACCATTCCATTTCTAAATAAATAAAAAGAGTGGGGGGGGGGGGGGGGGGGGGGGGGATTTTAAAAAATAGTTTTGCAATATTAATGGTAAAAAAAAAAAAAAAAAAAAGGGGGGGGGGGGGGGGAAAAAAGGGAAAAGGGGGGGGGTTTCCTTTTGAAATTTAATAAATTTATTATATTTCTTAATTAAAATAAAAAACCCCCCAAAAAAAAAAAAAAAAAACACTAAAATCTTTAATTCATTACTATTTATTTCATTATATTATGAGACTCTAATGTCCTCCTCAGAATTTCGGTTTGTAATTTAAATTAAATACTTACGCACAGAAGAAAAAAGAAAAAAAAAAAAAAATTAGAGAAAAAAAAAAAAAAAAAAAAAAAAAAAAAAAGGGGGAAAGAAAAAAAAAAAAATTTTTTAAAAAAAAAAAAAAAATTTTTTTTAACACATTTATATTAATATAATTATTAATGAATTTGTTTTAATTCTTCACTTGTTTGGAATATTGAGATTTTCATACTGTATAAATACTTTTCTTTCACGTCAAGAAATACCATTACGCATATCTAAATAAATAAAAAAATAAAATATGTTTATTATGGAACATAAGATACAGGTATCACTTATGCCACGTCATTAAATTTGAATCTGTAAGCATCCCTACTCATCGGCAAAGAAGACAGAGGGTGTAGGCCGAGAGAAAAAGCCGGCGTAAAAAACTCTCGGTAGTCTTTTAAAATAGCAAATCATTCGCAATTTATTTTCTTCCCGCGCACGCACAAAACTTATTTTAAAACAAATATCGCAAATTAATTGGAAGTAGCCTGTCTAGCACTAGACCCAGCCTTTTATCAACTAGATAATTGTTAACTTTATAGTAAGCCTTTTTACACAGCTTTTCTATAATACATTTCTTAAATTTATGAGATAGCCTCTGGGATTTTATTAAAGAAGAGTATCCCTATTCCCAAAAAAATAATTCGTAACTTTAGATAGTCTAGTACGGGGAAATTGCAGCCTGCGTTTGTTCCGAGTATTAACTATGTGCGTATGTTCTATTCTAGTAAACATCACTTTTTTTGTATACATACATAATATTTTCATAAATATATTGCGAGGGAAAGGTAAGTATATTAATTTACCTCTCAGAGATCTCTACGGCAATTTTCTCATGCAAGGATTATGTGGGACTCAACTCTCTGACTTTAGTTCGCCAATGCATGGAGATAGGTAACAGCTGAGACTAACCCCGCCAAATACGAATTTCACACACCGTCTCCAAAGCACGAATCTACAAAACTCTTTCTCAGGGTAGATGTGCGAAAGCACGACAAAGCTGCCCTGGTCGTCGTTTCCTTTCTGGTGGAGCGTCTGGATCATTTTCACTCTGACCCTCTGCATTCTCTATTTGAGTCACGATGGTCACAAAAAGCTTTGAAGGCATTGCAGAGACTTTAATTGTCGACTTCCACCATTAGGGAAAGCGACAGATAATTTGTATAATTATATTCTGTTGCTAGTTAGTATTGTATTTTATATCTATTATTAAATATTGTAATTAAAATAATTAATTACAATATTTAATTAGTGAAAGTGTATTGACAATAAAGACACTTTATGAAGATCCTATGATTACAAAAATACATTTTCTGTTCAATTATTATTTAAATTAATAATAAGAGATATTAAATGAATAAATTAATTTATTTTTCTTAGCTCACTTAATAATTTTAAAATGTATACAAATTCATTTCTTGCTTTATCTACCTCTTCCTTATTATTTTTTACAAAACTTAGAAAACTATCTTCTAGAATATCCTTAGTGTCTTCTATTAGGTCAAATAGCTTGGATGCACTTAAATGCAGAAGTATGGTAAGTATTTTTCTTCTGTCCGCATGCCGGAAGTACAAGTTTTTGAGGTCCGTATACCAATTTTGTGATTTATATGTAGTTATCAAAGCAACGTGTTTGATTGCATCGTGAAACTAAAACAAATGTTATGGGTAAAAGCATGTAAGGTACAAAATCCAAAAAAACAAAACCATGAGTTAAGGTGTCTTCAGACACATCTCATTAGACGACTGAGACGACGGACAAGGGACGGAGGCATAGGCACATATTGATTTTGTAGTGGCATTTCGTAGACCAGTTTAACTACTTCTACTAAAATAATAGTAGGATGAAACCTATTGGCAAGGGAGGAGAATATTATAAAAATTAAAGGAAGGAATCAAATGGCAATGTTGTAGGTAGTAAAAAGATCTAAAACTTTTGTATTTACACATTTTTCTCATAACCTCAAAATTTATGTAAAAATTCAAAAAACCAAGTTTTTGGTTTTAAATTTTTATCTTTTAGAAAATTTATTTTTTTACCACGACATTTGGTGAAAACTTACCTTTTTTTAGTCTTTAATACGCTGTAATTTATTTGATTTGAAATAATAATTTTTTCACCTTATTTTGAATTAACGAAAAAGCACCCTAATTTTCAATAGAAAATTCACCGGTCAAAATATCAGTTTTTTTCAAAAAGTTGTTTTTCGTTTTTTGAAATTTCTACTTTCCTATGGTAAAAAAATAATTACTATAGTAAATCTTCTCAGAAAATGCAAAAATCGTATGCAGTAACGCCCAGACCCGTCATCCCCTTCCCTTTTCTCTATGAAATACGAAAATTTTAGCCCATCTAAAGACTAAAATTATTTTTTTGCACTCAGGTATAAGTTATCTTAAAATAGTAATAAATTTTTAAAAAGTTTCGTATTTCATAGAGAAGTAGGAAAGGGGATTTTACCATAGAGATGAACCGTTTTTTACCCCTGCCCCTTCCCGACCTCAGATCGCCCGTAAATTATTTTTCCTTTAATTTTTATAATATTCTCCTCCTTTTCCAATGGGTTTCATCCTACTATTATTTTTTTAGGTTTCAAAAATTATCGACCCTGGTTTAAAACACTTTTATCATTGTTTTAATATACTTATTCACGTTATATACTTACGTCATTCAAAAAGAACTGTACTTCAACCAGAATGCTTTGAAAATTATTGAGAAATTCCTTTTTGCTCTGCATTAGGCTTCTAAGGAAAGTAGCGAATTCCCTCCACATTTTCACAGCCGATTTGAAACCTTTTTTCTTTTTATTTATTTTTGGTACTAGGCTTTTCGCTTTTATGTTCTTTCTTAGCTCATTGAGGGTTGTTTGTAGGGACGTTAAGCTTATAGTGTCGTTTAATGCTAAATCTGATGATTTGTATAAGTAGACGACGTATTTTAAAAGTTCCAAGTCGTAGGTATGTAAGTTTTCGCTAGCTTTTAGGCCCTCTCTGAAAACAATATATAGAAAGATAGTTCGTATATAGGAGCTGTATCTTATGCATATTTTAAAGATTTAATTTTTATTTAAGGATTGTTATTGTTAGGAAATACTAATGATTTTTAATGTAATCAGATTTGAAGTAAACATTTGAAGTAAGCGTTTGAAATTTATACAAATAAGTGGAAATTAATTCCTTCTGTTTATAGTCCTATGTAGGCTTAAAGAAATTATCATTAAAAACTTACGTTAAATCATATAATTTTTCTAAAGCAGTTTGGACATCGACGGCTGTTCTGAGCCAATCATAATTTACCAAAGCATCATTATTCATTTTAATAAAATCCTTAATTACGGTATACGTTGATTGTACTAAATCTATTTCTTTTCCACCAATATCTGCGTTTGTTTTAGATTTAATTTTGAATTTATTACGTTTAACTGGAATCGGAGTCATAGGATGAATTTGGTGATACATGTAGAGTTGATTATTAAATTTATCTATTTCCTCATGAGAGTTCTGCCTTCCAAAATAATAATCGATTGAAATTTCATCTTTATCTTTACCATTATCGATATTAAATATGTCATGTATGTTATCACGAAGTGTTTTCGGATGTCGTTGTCGTGTCTCATTTACAGTTGGTACATAACCAAACATTTGTTTTGCAAATAGTAGTTTCCTTACAGCATCTATATAGTTGATTGTGTTACTTTTATGATAATTTGTGTAAGGATGATCACTTTCATTTGTATCTGGTAAATTTTCCCCGTTGAATTTTCCTTGTCTCATATAATTATTATTCCTTCCGAAGAAATAGTCCATATCTATATAATCATTGGGATTGTAGTTATTACTGTTGGGTATAACTGGCTGCGGGACCATTATATTATAGGGGTTTTTATGTTTCAAAATATTGTACAGATTTAACTTGTATGGATTATAAAAATTATTGTTAATATTTTTAAATCTACTCCGTTGGTTCTGTTTTACAATAGTTTTTTTGTTTCTGAACTGTTCCTGAGATTCTTCACTATCCATATCGTTCTCATTTGGTCCAAAGCGGTTATAAGGGTTGTAGTATGCATTTTCTGGAGAGTAATTGTAAACCGGTGCATAATGTGAATGTTCATTATCTTTCTGAGATTTTTTGGCTACAAAAGGGGGTCGCTCAGCAGCTGCAATAAAAGTCTTAAATAAACGCTTTAAATAATTAAGATTATGGTTGTGGTAAAGTAGCTTTATACCCTGATCTCTTTGTAATTATAATATATTTTATCTTGAATATACAAATATAAAAAAAAACAAATCAAAGTTAAACTTACAAACTTCATATACATAATATACAGACTTGTTTTCGCTTGATCTGCTTCCCCAACTATGAATTTTATTAACATTTTTCATAAAAGTTCTATCCTCCTCTATTTTTTTCTGGGGATATGTCTTTCGGGCTCTGTATAATACATTATCTTTGCTTTTAAGAAGTTGTTCATTATTGTCGTCTGTAACGTCAAGTGAACTATTTCTTGTATTGGGCTCAACGGTTACAACATTCTCTGTTTTAAAGTCAGATATTTCTGTTATCACAGCTTTAGTTGTGTTATATAATTCTTCTTCTGTTATATTGGAACCACTGATAGGTTCTGATTGATTGATTATGACACTTTTTGCACTATTTCCTATATTTGGATCTGTTTTAACCGATACACTACCATCTAAAACTGTTTTACTTCTTACGAGTGCTGGATTATCTTTTATGATATCTAGTATATTTTTATCAAATGCAATTGAGTGAGGTTTCATAGTTACTTCTGAATAATCATTATTTATTACTTTATCTGTTACAAGCTGTATACTTTCATTAAGTTTTGAAAAATTTTCTACAGATTTTAATTCAATAGTTTCATTATCAATGGGATTCTGCAATAAGCTTGGTTCATCGTTGATAGTTTTGCGTAAATTAATAATATTGACTGTAGTTGTGGATGTGACAGTGTCATCAGTTGTATTGTTTTCAAACGAACTTTTTGATTCATCTGATGATTTTTCATTATTATCTCTTGAACTTGGTTCAAAATGATCAATTATTGTAGATTTATGGTTATCAACGTCTTCACTATCATCATAAATAAAAGAATGCCTTAAACTTTTTGGTGAACTCTCGTAGTTATCTTCGTACGGCTTATAAGTTGTGGTTGTTTCTACTACTGCAGACTTATTGATTGGTTGAACTTGAACATGCTTCTTATCTGGTTTATGTGAATCCGAATTATCATACAAAGGAACAACTGGAATAAATATGTCATTATTTCTATGGTTTTCATTTTGTACATTTCTCCGTTTTTCTCTTTTACTGGCACGCATAGTTAAGTCTAGATACTTTTCATTTTCACTATTATTTCTTTCATCTTCTTTACTTTTCGAAATTTGATCTTGACTGTCTCTTCTTATTATTGCTTTTTTCGTATTGCTCCTTTCTTCTTTTAGAATATTCTGTACGTAAGCAGTATGTGAATCTAAGGCCTCATCCGAAATATTCACCGATGAGACCTTAGGCACATTACTATTCTGATAATCCTCAAATATTCTTCTCGCAATCTTTTCTAGAAACTCACGCTTCTCCTCTTCAGGTAAAGCATCAATATACTTTTCATCGCTGTCATCCTCAGCGATAACACTTTTTAATAAGATGAGCACTATAAGTATTCGATGCATTTCCACAAACTATCGAGTCATTTTTAATTTATTTTATGACACAGAGAACAAATTCCGTACATGGAATTTAAGATTAAAAATCATTTTCTGCTGTTAAATCAAGCATGCAAAAATAATTACTTGCACGCAAAGAAAATTTGATAAGGAAATTAAGTGTTTTTTAGAGTTTAGTATTTTACAGCTTCAAAATTGTACTAAAGCAAACCCATAATGAATAATCTAAATAGTTATAAAATTGCTAAACTCTTAGTAAATAAATATTATTTAATTGTGTTAAAAGTGGATTTAATGTTGTGATTTTTTGCTTTTCAATAATGTGTAGACTAAAAATTAAATCAAATTTTATTATCACTGAATGTTTATTTACAAAAACCACTTACCATTCTCGGCAATTAATTATTCATCTCTAATTCTAAAAATCTATTACTATTTTAAAATCACAAAGCAAAATTAATCAAACAATATTTAGATAAGGCTCCTTGCAAACAAAAGCATAAGCAGGTTATCATTTAATTAAGTCGGCTTTTATCATTAGAAGAACTGGTACAATATGTTAAATTAGTATTGATTGCTTCTGTATCTATAGGACCCTCTCCAGCCATGTCGTCCTGTTCTCAAACTTCTTTCCGTTCCTAATCTAGAATCTTCAAATGTGGCTTCCATTTCTGGTACCTCAGGTTTCATTTCTACTACTTCCTCTGGCTGCGTCATTTCAATATTAGCACTCGTATTCATATCATCACTTTCAATATCACCTGTGTCGGTAACTTCATCCTCCATTTTGTTCATTTCTTCTACAGCTTTTTCTATAAGTCTTTCAACCATATTTTGCTTCTTGCGACTGGGAAACCGCTTTTGGTTCTTGACCGTCACGTTTTCTGTTTCCTTTACTTCATTCTTATTTGTGTTTGTTTCAGTTTGGTTTATGGATTGCATATCTTCTTTCTTGTCAGCAACTTTCCCTATTTCCATATTTAGGTCATAGTATGCAGGTGAATCCTCGCAGGGGATGGAATCTATTGGCCTTGTACAGACCAATACTTCCTGTAAAAAGTGATAAAACAAATACAATTTTGAAAAGTAATAAGTGAAAAAATTACACACACTATGATTAAAATAGTAGCAAAATTATGGCGAGAGTGGAAATATCTACTGTATATTCTACTACGAATACCATAACTGGACTGGATTAAATTAGATTGGATAGAACATAAATGGAGAACAGAGCAGTATTGGCCTAGTGGCTTGCGCGTGCGTGAGCGTGCGACTCTCATCAATGAGGTCGTAGGTTCGATCCCTGGCTCTGCACCAATATACTTTCTTTCTATGTTCGCAATTAACATTTTCTTGAACGGTGAAAGAAATCATAGTTAGGAAACCGACTTGCCTTAGACCTAAAAAGTCGACGGCGTGTGTCAGGCAAAGGAGTCTGATCACATACTTGCCTATTAGAACAGAACAGTTCTGGATCTGTTTCTTGATCATTTGTCAATCTAAAAGGCAAGTATGTGATCAGACCCAGACCTATAAAGGTTGTAGCGCCACTGATTTGTTTTTTTTTTATAACGTAAATGGGTTGCAGGATTTGCAGAGCCTTCGTATGTGTAACCTAAACATAGATACACATTAAGATGACTAATATATTAATTAGACTTTTAACTAAATAAAACTTAAATATGTACTACGAAATGCATTATCATTTTCAATCTGTTTAGTTTGCCAAGATTAATAACAACCTTACCTGGTTGAAAACTGTTTCAGCTGGGCAGATGAAGCTCCAGCGGTAGGTGACGTTTCTTCCTGACTGCGTCTGTGACGGGAGACAAACGTGGAAGATCTGACAGTCGTTGTCAACGTCCGCGTAATATCCGTACACTCTGTTCTCGCAGCTGTAATTTAAAAATATAACTACCCTCAAGTACAACCTTTCGTCGTTTCTAAAAGGCACAATAAAGAAGCTTCGTTTTGTAATATATTAATTATAAAAATTAAATAATTACGGAAAAGAGTAATTGCAATATTTCTAGGTATAAAAACTTTATCGGGTCTTTCGTTGGGAGTTACTAGATATAAAAACTTTAACGACTTGGAAACCTTTACGTGGCGCACTATGACGCCACAAATTTCTTAAATTACTAATAATACTTAATTAACCTATTCGTTATTTAATTATGGATTAAGATTTTCGTCATTTTGATACAAATACTTGGAACATAATAAAATAAGATTATGAAACTTCGTCATTACTTTCAGTAACTTTACTAAGCCTTTTTAAATACAATTAACTATTACCTAAACGTATCGGTAATATTTTCTCTAATAGATGTAGCGTTTGCAGGCAAATTTAGTGTGTCAGCGCTGGTCTGGTTTGCCATCTCCTGAAAATTGTTGTACATATCACTACATAGTATAAAACAAAGTCGATTTCTCTGTCCCTATATCCCTATGTATGCTTTAATCTTTAAAACTACGCAACGGATTTTGATACGGTTTTTAATAGATAGAGTGATTGAAGAGGAAGGTTTATATGTATAATAACATCCATTAAATAGTGGAGAAATACTGTTATTTTTAAGGTTTCTAATGTAATGTCGTAAATAAATACATTTTTCCGCTTACATTGCAAACGCAGGCGGAACCCTACGAGATTTATCAAAATAATGTACTACGTATTGTACACATTGAAAAGGTACATTTAGTATCAGCTTTGTACCCGTGCGAAGCCGGCGTGGGTCGCTAGTTAATAATATAATGAAAAAGAACTGCCTCGAAGACTTAACAGTTTCTGAGCTGATATCGTATATTATACTACCCAAAAGTGTAACAAATTGGATATGTAATACATAATTATATAGTACCGTTATTAAAATCTAAAAAGGCTTATAACAAACGCGCTCATTCTCTTTAAACAAATAAAACATTGCTTAATTAAAAAGATTATAATTTACAAATAAACTCAATAAACCTCAATAAATAAATTAAAAACAATTAAAAGCTTTTAAATATACATTTACTACTTTTCGAATTAAGGAAGTAGAACGGACGAGAAGAACCGGCAAATAAGTCTAAGGCACTCTTAATCAACGCGCAAATACGGAGCAACCATCACCGCGCATTTAAGTTGTTTTGGATATGGTAAAGATTCAACTCACTCTAAGCATTTTTAGTACAACTCCACTCGTCGCTTCCAACTCTATTTCATCAGCGATCACACATGTTGATAATAGGAATAAAATTATACACCTTATTAATGCAGTCGCCATTATCTGGAAATACGATTTTTTTTATTATCAAGTTAAAATCTTGATTCATCAATTAAGACTAATTTAATTGTAAGAAAAGCTGGTTTTAGAAATTATATTTAAACTATAAGTTTACCATGCTGCAGTCTCTGTGGTTCAGTAGTGAATAGTTTCAGTCAAAGTGTTAACTCGGAGGTTGGGTGCGCAATTATTTCACCTATCTGTCCCAAGCTCCATCCAATGAAAAGTAATTTATACTATTTTTGACTTATTAATAATTTTAATTAATTTACTTTATATATAGCTCCATATTTTCATATATTGATGAAAAGAGTAGAAAAGATTTATTTTAGAAACTAAAAATGTATACACAAAATTGTAAAAGCGTTAATCTAAAAGGCTGCTTCGCTCGCAAATACCCAAATAATGTATAATTAAATTGCTTTCATTTTAAACATGAATTCTTTAACTTATTAAAGCCATTTGACTTTCGATTGAGATTCAAAATCAGGCAATACTACTTCCGGTATCAAAATCCAATACATTTTGGTCGTATGGAAGTTACGACCTAAGTAAGAGTAAGAGGGCTAAGTCTCCTTTCTAAATATCACTCCAACAGCCTTAGACTACTGCTAACATTTAATACAAACTTATCTTCTAAATCACATCAAAATTTAAAAAAAATCTTTTAAATTATTAAAAAAATACAAATTTTTTAAACAATCTTCCGAGTCCAAAAATAAATTATAAACTTACATTATCCTACAAATATATATATCACTAACAACACTGAACACAACACTGTATGTACTAGAATGCAAAATTTTTTATTCATATACGGTCTTTTATAAACCTGCGCGGGAGTTCACGGAATCCGCAATAAGGATTAAGTACGGTTGGCAACGTCAGGAACTAACAAAGTATCTATTTAATTAACGAATACATAAAATGGACTTGCCAGGTAACCCATCATCATCAACTGGGGCTCAAACCAGAACTGTAAGCTATTAAACTCTAGACCATCAGATCTAGACTATTTCAGAAATAATTGCAAAATTAAGTAGTCATCTTTTACTACTGGATAAAAAATGTGTGTAAGTTATGAATGATGATAATATAAAGTTTCGTAATTAATTACAGTAGTATGTCTAGTATTGGTTTCCATCCGTGTTTCGGCAAGGACAAAGTACTCCTCCAGATTATCCATTTTTGACAGTTCCAGGCGGAAATGGCACAGCCCAGGGAGCGTACTTTCTTCGTTGTGGAGGCCAAGATAAATTTAGCTGCTAGAGAGAGCGTCGTGTGTCTTATTAGGTTATCAAATGTTTAAAAATATTTTAAGCAAATAATTCCTTTATCAAAAAAAAGAACAGTCATAGACACATGCATACTCCCATGTCTATCATATAGACAAACGTGGATTTTTAATAAGGCGCTAATAAAGAAAATTGGAGTATTCCAAATGGTTGGAGCGTTCTATTATTCGGTTTAAAGACAAATACGAAGCCTTACAAAAATAACTGACGTGATAACACACTGAAAGAAATTAAAGTGGAAATAGGTCGGTCACATTGCCCGCGTTTGTGAGGACAGATGGGTCAATATAGCAGCGAAGATGAGAGACAAATGGAAGAATTTAGAGGTTTTCCCTCCATCCGAGGTCGTGTATTAATATTAAATGCAAAAAGAACAAACTTAATGTGATCCTTATTAATAATAAAGGTTACTTTTTTTTCATTCAGTTGTCTGCCGACCCTACTAAATCCCGCCTTAGATGTGACATGAAATTTAATATGATCAAATTGTGCGAAAAACAACCTTGACTTAGCACTTGTATCTAATGAAGCCATCTACCATCGATGATTCAAAAAACATGAAAAAGTACCAATCCCAATACTGTCCCTGGCATACGGCGCTTTACCTACGTAACTGATATTATCAATGGCTTATAATGCTACAGGTAAGTCAAATCGAAGTTTACAAAAGTGGCTAATAATTGTCCGGATGTATCGAATAAAAGTTAACTAAAACTCCATTTTAATATAACGCGATATTTTCATGAAAAATCATGGTATTTTTTAACATGACATTTCATTATTTATTATTATATTCATTAAATATGTTTTATTCTGGTTTTTTAAAAGTTTACTAATAAACATAAACTGTTTAACTTCAAAGGAATCAATAATTGTATGTTACAACTAATATATTTGCTGTTTAATAAATTGACAAGACAAAATTGGAACACTATTCAATAATTTTACTATAACATAACATCAAGCAAGTTCAAGATATCAATTACATGACCCCGATTCGACCTTTACTACCGTTTCCATTTACAGACATCCGTAGACTATATTAAACAATTAAAAAATTAATCAACAGTATCTTTAACTTTTTTTTAAAGGCAACGGGCAGGAGGCTCATCTGATGTTATCCCACCGCTCATGGACACTCTCAAGAGAGGGCTCACGAGTGCGTTGCCGGCCTTTTAAGAATTGGTACACTCTTTTCTTGAAGGACCCTAAGTCGAATTGGTTCGGAAATACTTCAGTGGGAGGTTCCACATAGTGGTGGTACGCGGCACAAACTGCTTTAAAAATATGCTTATAAAATATTTGACATGTACCACTTATACAATAACCGATATTAATCAGGATTTCAACTGTTTGTAAGGCCAGTTCCAAAGTTCAGTTGGCAACGCAAATAAATACATTGGCGTTAGGGTCAAAATTTTACAAATCTATTCAGGAAGCCGAACTTGGATTAGGCAAAAGATTCAAGCAAAAGAAATTAGTTTTAGAATTTATAATTTGAAGAGGAACCTGGAGTACCTATTCCTTGATTACCAAACAATGTTTACAACAGCAAAACTACAGAGGTAACTTTGAAGATAAATTAGGTATTTCTTAATTTTGTTTGTAATACATACATCGTGACATCGAAGTTCTCACGTTTCATGATTCTTTCATAACTGTGAATCCTGTTACAGTTATGTATAACAAAACTTCTTTTTCCCTGTTATTAAACTTAGCACTATAACCGTGAATTAGTTGACCAGCGTTTAGTTAAATAGATTGTTAGAATCTTAAGTCTAACTTCGGAACTTGTTCATTATGTCGCAATTTTAATTAAACCACATATTTTCATATTATAGTTTTTTTTCCAGGCTTAAATACTAATGGTAATTGTAAAGCTGTTTTTCTGTGCATACAACCCCTAGGTTCTTAGGGGTCTGTCTTAGAATACGGCACAGCAAATAGTGTGCTTGCCATCAGTTTAAAAAAACTAATTAATAAAAAATAACGTTTGATTTTTCACAGTTAAATGTAGAAATAATATTTTAATCTCCAATCTCCATAGATAGAGTATTGAACTTTTAAGTTTTCGTGTGCGCGTGAGTTGAAGATAAATTGCAACTTAGTACGCCATATTGCTTAAGCATAGATATTAGGCATTCCTAAACGTATATTAATAATTGTTTTTGTTAAACGTTTATTTTACCTAATATTCATTAACATGATTAGACAAATCTTCTCTTTAAAGTACTTTTTCATCTCTCTCCAAAAGAGACAGACTAGTACTTCAGTTGAAACGGTGCAATTTAATTGATTTGAGGTTAAGCGCTTAAAGCCACATCACATGAATCAATTTCAATCATTTACAATAAAACTGTGATGAAAAACGATGAATGGACATTTTCAGCAACGCCATGGAGACCGATACGTTTAAGAAACCTTGCCTTTAATTTTTTGCTACTTTTTTATTTCTACATAATTATGTTTTTACTGCGTTTATTGGCGCATGCTTGGCAAAATAATGTTTTTCGCTGAAAATTAATCTGCGAATATTTTATAATAATTCATATTTAATCTAAAGCAGTCGTCAACGGACCAATACACTTCCGTAAGTTTCTAAATTCATAATAAATAAAATAACATTATTTTCAAAATATGCATTACATACTAATGGTAATCTTTAGATATACAATAATCGATAGTTTTGTATATTTATTATCTATTTTCTTTTTCGATAGTCACAGGGAAATATAACGATTTTGTGTTGGTACGGTACATGAATAGATAATAAAAATAGCAAGTCCACACCTCAAACTAGGAAGTAATGACGTTTACATATATGATGAAAAATCTTGGCAGCGTCTCCGTATTAAGCATCTTAGAATCAGGTTCTATGATAATACAGATGTCTAAGGAATGTCTATCAGTACAGATCTAGAATACAAAGTGAGGGGGAATGACCTTTAAATACCTAAGAAATGTTTCCAGTATTTTGATACTAAATTCGCGTTACCAAAGTGAAAACTGTCTTAGTTTAGACGCTTTTAATTTTAAAAATTTCTACACCTGTAAAATTTCGTCGATAATGCTAGGTTAAATTAATTTTAGGTTTTAGGGAAATTTTGAGATTATAGCCACCATCTTAGTTTTGTTTTTTATCCTGTTCTATAGTACACGAGCACATGGTTCACCTGATGATAAGTGATACCGGCGCCGATTGAAGCCGTCCGAAAAGGCTTGTAAATGTGTTACTAGCCTTTTAATAATTTAATTGGTACGATATTTCTTCTATCTTTTTTTATAGAATAGGGGTAGGAGACGCACCTGATGATAAGTGATAGCGCTGCCCATAGACACTCTCAAAGCCAAAGGCTCGCGAGTACTTTGCCTTTTAAGAATTGGTACGCGTTTGTTGAAGGACCCTAAGTCGTATTGTAAATATTTCAGTACGCAGCTGGTTCCACATAGTGGTGGTTAAAAAACGCTCAGTTGTGGAACATCGAGGTGATACGGGTATATTTTCGTATTCTGCCTCGACTTCCGATGATGAAATGATATGTCTATCAATTATGCAGTACTGTTAATCAATGGTATGTGACTTATTGTTAATAATAATAATTTATTGAATATTACTACAATATAATATCAATCTTATAGCTATAAATTTTGCCAAAACAATTACCTTAGCTATTAAGATATTTCAGAGCTATATGTCAAGTTACG